ACCTTTTAGTTTGTTAATTTTAATTTGTAATTTATTTGTTCTTGTTAATATTTTATTTAAAAACTTCTTTCTCTGTGGTATTTGATGACTTCGTATTTTAATATAAGACTTTTTGTGAAAATCTTTTATTTTTTAAAACTCTTCACAAGATATTAATTAAAATTTAAATTAGTCGAAATAGTAAATTTAAACAAACCAACAGAGTTAATTAAACTTATTAAACGATCCGACTTTTCGTTTCTGTGTTTATATTCTCAAAGAACCTATTTTATTAATATCTTTATAAAATACAAGATCTCTCTTGAATTTATGTACGTTGCTGAGAATGTCTTAAAATTGCAATTTAACTCCTAATACAGGTAATTTTATTAAATATATTTGTAAAATACATGATCTCTCAAATTTCAAATTTACGTTGCTGAATTGCGTCTTAGAATTGCAATTGGATTGTTACTAGAAGCCACGCGGCTCTTGCATCTTTAATTTCGAGGAAACAAGTACGGACGGGCATAATAAAAATCAATAACGGTCAACCCCTTATAATAAGCCTAAGTGGTTGTCATAAGATTACAAATGATTATCATAAAGCTCGGTCTTATCTCTTGATAAGATTCTACATTAAACTAGCAGAAAAATAAGATTTGAATAATCTCATCATTATGGTTTATTATTCGTCCTGCCTCATTTATATTATTCATGTAAGTATTACTTTAGGCTGTATACCCTATTACTACGATTACTTCTAAAAATATCGCTAATCCAGAGTTACAATTTACCTTCCTGGCTTTTATCTCGGCAATATCGTCCATAATATCGAGCTGTAGATTGTGAGTGCTTCCACTGTTGCTGGGCGGGCCGGTTATCCCGGTGGACGAGTCTCGCCGGCTCTGTAATATCCTGGTGGCGCCTCCCATAGGAAAAGCAGCGATGGATTCGCGACGATTGCGCCCGAAGAAAGTGGTCGGCACCCTGGAGATCGTGACGACAGAGTGCCGCCGACCGCCGGCCGTCGGTGCCGGCGTTTGTGAGAGCGTCGCCAGGAAAGCAGCCTCCCTCGCTGATGGACCGGAACCTTCTCCGCCGCGTTCGCTCAACCGTCGCACCTATTCAAGAGGATACCGTCGCGTGCAATTTAAGAGGAGACCATCTTATCGACATCGACACCCAATACGGATTTATCTTACTGCTTGAGAAAGAAATTTAATTAATCGGATTGGCAATCAAAGGACACAGCCTCATCGAGAAATACTATAAATCTGAATCGTACAATCTCGGATTTTATACATTTTTAATGTGATTATTTCTAGATCTATCTTGGTCGTAAGCTTTTAAAAATGTAACTGTACACATCAAAATGATAATATCATTGTGATGCTAAGTTTAGAATAGTAAGATATCTGTTAAAGCATTCACCTACTGTACCAGATTGACGTCAAAAGCGAGAAAATACACGATAAAAATTTTTGCAAATATTTGTATTTAAATAAAAATATTTTTTAATAAAACAACATTTGCAATCGATGGAATAGACTTATAAAATACATCTACCGAAAACTATTTTCTCGTTTTGGGGAGAAATCATATTTATTTCTATATATTATATATTTATTTAATAGTTTATTCTGTATGTTATTAATTTAACAGCTGATTTCGTTTTTGGTTATGCATAATTCATTTCTAAATATATGATATAATTTCGAGATTATTTATTAATTAACGAAACAAAAGAGAAGAATTTTCAATGTATTTTATAAGTTTTGCCAATTATACCTTGTAAAGTATAAAAAAAAGCAACAGTAAACCCAGTTACCACATCCGTTGAGTTAAAAATAACATTTTGTTATTTTTAAGTTTTATGGTTGCATTCGAAGAGCGTCATATATCAAAATATAAATCAAACATCGATGTTTTAAAGTAAACAATGTTTATATTAACGTTTATATTAATGTATACATTTAGTAAATAATAAACTAAATTAGAGTCAAATTTAATACATTTTATTGAATTAAATTGTTTAATTTCCTTTTTTTTAGTTAAATTAACGCATATTGCGTAAGAACAATAGTACTATAGAAATAATAAAAAAATAACTCAAATTGGATATAGTTTGACATTACAAATTTAATAGTATAAATATTGTTTTATTGAAATATATATTTCCATATTAATATATTTTTCAAGAATTTTTATTTTTGTGTATTTTTTCTTCTGACGTCACAGTTTGAAATAGAAGTGGCGAGTGAACAAGGAGCTTGTAAAGCTTCATCAAAACAGTAATAAATCAAACAATAGTGTTTTATCAAAACAAAAATATATTAAATTAAAATAGTTGAAAAGTAAAAAGTTCATAGATGTTCATTTTTAATTTTATCTTAATTTAATATCTTTTTTTTTTTAATTTTGTTATAATACGCGGAGAGTACGATTTTGTTGAAGTATAAAAAAATTTAGTTGGATATAAATCTAAAAATAATTTTATTTGCACCATCAAAATAATTATATAAAAGATTCTGAAATAGTCAGAATGTCAAAACTTTTCGCAGCATTGCTCATTGTGCTTGAGATTTCTATATAATTATGTTGATGGTCCAACAAGCTATTTTCAAATCTGTGTCTAGTTAAATTTTTATAAATTTTTATAAATATACTTCAGCAAAAACCTTTTCACGTGTCTGTTTTCTTTCCCTTCAAGATCGATCATTACTCCGACAATTTTGGCGTTCGGAGAACTATTCTATTTCAGATTTCTCGCGCTCGTATAAAGAGGGTATATTGCGTATATCGACAACGCCGACCGCGAAGGACTTCCTGTGCACGTATACACAGCACGTACCTGGGATGCGGTTATCCCGGATGTACATTGTGGCGTCGGCAAGGAGTGCTTCCTGGCGTCCCTCCATGGTGAGAGCAGATAGGGATTCAAGGATGGTGAGTCTGGGTCGACACATCGTGGCGGTGATTCCGCGCGACAGCGCTCCGCTTCTTCTTCGACGACAATCAGCGGCTCACCGGTGCTTCCGGTGCTCGAGCTCGGACAGTACGACTGCCTTCTCATCTCTGTTTTTACAAATATGTATTTTAAAAGATCTCAAAATTTTATAAATTAAAAAAAAATTTTCAGTTTATTAATATCTTGGAGACTGAATTTTTAATTGCGATATTCTGGGAAGTTCTCTTTAATTAAAGTTTATATCAAAAGATTAAAACTATAAGCACAGACAGTGCACTTTATTTATCTTTATTCTTTAATTATCTTCTACAAATATTTTCTTCATCTCACCAATGTAGGTTAATATTAGAACCGCGGCTGTGCCATTTTTAATCCATCTGATAGTTTTTCTTTTCTAGTTAATCTGGATTTGCATGTAGAGCTTTAGATTTGTACGACTTTCACAAACAATCAATTAATTACAAATATTTTTACTTTTATGGTGACAATTATTTCTTGTAAAAAAACCAGATTTACTTTGAATCGCAATTAAATTAATTTAGACCCACGGTTTTAGTGTTAACTTTAATTATGATTCAACTTACTCTTCATCTTTTTTAATTTTTAGAACTACGCTTAAAATTTCGAGATTAAAGTTAAATTGTATCGATAGAATAGACATCCGATATTTAGCTCCATTTATAACGGAATTAGCGCCTCGGTGTATATATGTGCTGTTTAAGATTCCGAGTGGATGTCCGACGGGATTTCTCGAGTATGTGCGATACTGAGATTCGAGAAATTCCCCACAGAATTTTTTCCTCAGAGACAAGCATCCGCGTACAGGTATAAAGCATTGCACGTAATATATATAACCTTGTTCGGTTCGCGTAATTCCGAGCACGTGCGAGCATTTCGATTTGATATAACCAGAATATACCTCCCCTCTTCGCGTATCACGTCCGTGTAATGGGGGGGTAATTTCGGCATTAATTCTTCTATAAATACATATTTGCGTGGGATGTAACGGGGGTAATCCCGAGTCGTAATGCGTTCAGATGCAGTGAAAGGGGAAAAAAAACATGTAAATGACAGCTACGTATTAAACGTTACATTTGCGCAGTTACATAAATATTTAGTGTTCACAGGAGTCATATTTTTGTTCAGTATCTGGGTCAGCTGTAGTACTGCTCACGCTAATGAAATTTGCGATCACCTGCGACAGCTGCAGAATTACCTTCCATCATCGATTGTTTATTCACATAGTTTAATCGACATCGTGATGTCTCTCACAAACAAATTGCTGATGTTTTGGATATGCAAAACGCGCAGAACATTTATTATATATAGTACAATAAGCGAAACAACAAACCTCGTAAAAATGGCAAAGAGTTATTCCAATTGATTTTTTAATTCCGTTTCAGTAAATTTTCTCTTTGTGGTCGTAATATGGAAATTCGAATTGTTTAATATTCGCATGTATTCCGGCCTTTTATCGCAAAAGATCAAATCTGGTCGGAGTAATTGAAAATTTAAAACGAATCTCTTAATCATAATTGAAGCGTGTATACGGTGAAATAAATTGCTCTTTGCTTAACATTCAATATTTCGTTATCAGATTTTCTCTTTTATATAATATATCGGCATGTCGAAAAAATATGAAGAAATCGAAGAATTATATCCAAGAAGCTTCAAGTACGCCAAGTTCACAAATTGAATGGTACGGAATGAATACCTGTCGATTTCTTTTTAATTCACTTATATCGCGAACTATAGTCACGTCCACGCTTCCGTTCAACAGAAATGCTGCGATCGATCGACCCGTTTCGTCGCCTCTCTCTTTCACTCGCAGTCGTCCCGGTAACGGTGATAATTCCGGAAATTAATATTCGAATACATAGGTCAATCTACACAGAGGATTTGGTCAGCGGCTGGCGAATCTAGAAATAACGAATGAGAAACCGCGGGGATTCCGGTGACATCAAGAGGAAAGACCGTTGACGAGAACGCATCCAGGAAAGTAGATAAGAATTATCTCGGCGACAGCCGAGATGAGGTATATAAAGCGACGCAGCGTCTTAAGGAACATTGTTGTTCAAAACGAATTTGAGTGCGCGCGAAAGTTCCGCAATCATGAAGCTGTTCGCTACACTCGCTGTCTTTGTCGTATTGGCTTGCACCTTGGTCAGCACACTACCGGCTGTCTACGATGGACCTACTTATGAACTGGGTAAGCATACATTTCACCGAGAAAGATCATAAATAAATGATCTGAATCCTCCGGTGCTGACGCGAGCATCTGATAATACAGTTACTGACGCTGGGTTTGTAATAGGGTTCTTACACGTCCTTCTATATCAATAATACTGTCAGTATCAACAAATATTGACAATATTATTGACTGTGTGCGGTTAATATTGATGTATTGATGTTGAATACGGATTTCTTGATTCTTGAGCATCAGAATTCCCTACCACAGAGCAATACTGTTGCTTGAAAATAAAAAATCCGGATCATCGTTAATAATACTGTCAATATTTGTGGGTACTAACAGATTTCTGATCGTATAAAGTCCGTAAAATTAAATTGAAATATTATCAATAACACACAGAAAGAACAGTTGTTGATCGAGTATCTAAAAATTTAGTTAGATTACAGATCTGAAAATAATTTTGTTGGACCATCAAAATAATTATATATATATACGCTCAAACTGGTTGTTGTCAAAACAGAATGTCAAAACTTTTTACAGCATTACTCGTGCTTAAGATTTCTACATAATTACTTTAATGATCCAACAAAATTATTTTCAGACCTGTATCTAGTTAAATTTTTAGATACTTCGGTAAAACCATTCTTTTCGTATACTAATCATGTTAGATTGTAAAAATATTGATGTATACTGTCAGTATTACTGATTCAATGATACTGATCGATGTTATTGTGATCATAAGCAGAAGACTCACTTAATTTAGACTAATCAAAAAGCATTAATTAATTTCAAAAAACCAAAATAACATAACTCGTGTTTAAAAAAGAATGAATATTAGATATATTTTAATGAGAATAATCCGAATTTGTAACATAAAGAAAATTAAAAAATATAATGACTAACAGGCAATAATCAACGCAATTATTCGTGCGTAATAATTGACAAATGTATTGTTCAAGGCGTTATATACAAAGTAATCACAAAGTAATGTTTATGCCGAAGTCATCATTTCAACAATTTATTCGGTGCGAACCAGTACTTTGAACGAATTTTGCGTATCCATTCTTTCCAAATAACTTACTTTTTTAATACTGATCATAGTTAGCAGCTGTGCTAACATTCAGCCAAACGGCTTATTGGCTATTTCTCAAACCTTGAAAAAATTCCTCAGCTGCTTTTTTAGACTTATTTAATTCGGTACGATTAATTTTTGAATTTACCATAGAACATTGCTGATAATGGCTCGAACGAAGTTGAAACGTCCGATTCTTCTTATTTGTATGTAACGTCTAGAACAATACATTTGTTAATTATTACGCACGAATAATTGCATTGATTATTGCTTTCAATTGCCTGTTAGTCATTTTTTATCTCGAGAGCTCAATTTATTTTACTTTTACAATAAAGAAAATTGTTCGTCATTTTTGACAAAGAGATTTTAATTGAGAATCAATACGTACATCTACCGTCATTTCGAGATTTAGATTTAAATAATAGTCAAGTTCCTTTGGTAATGGAACGATCTTAACAAATTGTAATTAATCTTGGATATATAATTCTTACTTTATCAGTGATTTATTCACTGAGATATCAAGTTCGAGTTACAATAGGTCACTTTTTTATCGATAATTAGATCGGATATTATAATAAATGCTTGGCTCGTTAAATATTATAGCGTAATTTCATTTTCGCGGAAAACGGTACGTCGCCGAGATACAACATGACGATACTTTGCAATAGAGTAATAAATATCTAGAATGTGCAGTCTTTTGTCTCGCGCTGCATAATAGTTGCACACACATTCTTCCTCTTCTCGCTCTCCTCTCCTCTCGCTGACACCTTTTGTCGTACTCCGATAATACGCTGTCGATATCCTTTCATATCGAGCTCGACACGACCTTTTCTACTGACGAGTCATTCCATTATTATGAGTTACTATATCATTTCCGAATGCTAAATTAGAAATAATCTTTGCGCTTAGTTGCGCACTAAATAAGCTGTTTCTTAAAATCCTTAAAATAAAAAGACCCTGCTACATATTTTTTAAATACTAATTCTAATGTCAAAGTGATTTGCATAATTAGAGTTACATAAAAAGGTTGAAGTTTGAAATTTAATTCGCAAGAGTCATATAATTCCTATTATAAGACTTTAAACTTTGAAGACAGAGAGAAAGGGAGACGAAGTTGTTTTAAATTTCTTCGAAAACTTCTTACTTTTCTCGCTTTATGTATCAAGAACAATAAAGAAGGGGAGTCAATTTCATCTTCGCAAGAGAATATACATATCTACGTATCCTTGATAAAACCTCTTCTGCACAGTTTAACGAAAGCTCTCGAGACACCGGATACTTATAAAGGGTACATAAAACGCGATACTCCGCAATAATTCATGTTCTCTATTTTTATCGGAAAATAAAGCGGAGGAATTGCATTTCAGCTACCATCGATGATCCAGTGGACGACGAAATGCCGTCGGATCTGTCGCCCATCCGGAACCGGCGCGTGACCTGCGACCTTCTGTCCTGGCAGTCCAAGTGGCTGAGTATCCATCACAGTGCCTGCGCAGCCAGATGCCTGACGCAACGTCGCAAGGGTGGTCGCTGCCGCGACGGTATCTGCGTCTGCAGGAATTAGGCGTCGTGCTCGCCCTTGAATCGTTCCACTCTTGGTCAACGCAACAACGTTCCATGGATCTCGCTGTCACTCATTGTCCCACTATCTATTGACTACGTTGGTAAACGCCGTTGCATTGTAATCCAAATTAATATTCGTGGGAGATCACGAAGGGACGCGATTTAATCATCCGATCGATAGTTTTGGCCTCGATTGTCCATCCCGCCGAGCGAATTTTCGTCGAAACGGATAACGTCATTATTAACGATAATTATTTTAATCGCTCCCGCGCGTCATTACCGAGCGTGTTAATAAGAATAACAGTTCTTGTTCGCGTCAGCGTCGCGACGGGAGTTTCCCCGGGAAATTGACAAGAAATGATATTGACGTTATTAATGGAAGTTAATTAAACCGTTTATCGTAATGGCACTGTGATAGGACATTTACATAACATTTGTCAGACGATGTCAATCGATTCATTATGGCGCGTGCATAAAATTTCGGCCAAACCAAGCGTAGTCATTGCGAATTATTTTAATGTATACATTTCGATTAATATTAAATAATTATAATATTTATGCCATATATTATTTTTTAAAATCGATTAAATGTCGGTATATAATTGCATCGATATTTACAAATACTGGCTACTACGACCAAACGTAGTCGTGCGAAATCTTGATAAATACATGTTGATTAATACTGAATAGTTATAATATTTATAACATATGTTTAAAAAAATTTAAACCGATTAAATATCAGTATAATTGCATCAATGCCTACAAATTTTTTTCCCAGCTATGTGATTATTTACTAAATATAATGCAAGTATGTTTATACGTATGTTAGATTAAAATCTGTTCTATGAACCTGCCTCTGTACGAAACAACAGTTACAGTAATTAACCGACCTATTCATTTTATAGTAAAAGTAATTTTATTAGATTAAAATAATTCAATAAGCTGCATACGATCTCGATAGTTTTTTTTATAAAATTGGGTCTTTGTAAAACTTTACATTTAAAAAAAAAACAATTTTAGTAAAACAAATGATGTTTCGCAAATAATTGCTACACGCGCGCGCGCGTCCGCGTATATTAAAAATAATAATTATATATTAATTATCAATTTGTTATTTTACTAGATAGGAAGAATGTTTTGCTAAAATGTCTCAAAATTAAGTTACATATAGATCTGAAAATAATTTTGCACCATCAAAATAATTATGTAGGACATTCAAATTGGTTGCCAAAATATTAAAACTTTTTGCAGCATTATTTTCAGATATGCACTTAGCTAAATTTTTAAATACTTTAGCAAAATTGTTTTTTCTATATACCTGTATTAAAATTAACATTAATGCGATAAAACTAAAAACGGCTGTTGATAATAGCAATTAATCGAACAAAACGTCCGCGAATTGACAATTGACCTTTATCTGACCGATTTAAAATCTATTTCCTGATGTATATAAAAGCAACATGTGGGTTCGGTCGATAGTTCCATGTTGGCGAATCCAATCACTAACGTAATATCTTTCGACGCGCTGTATATTGATTCGTGCGTTTGCGAACGTGCACAGAACACAGATCGCTGCTGAACAATGAGCAGTCCAACATATCCCGGGAGATGGAATCTAGAATTAAATTTGAAATGCACCGAACAGGAGAATGGTCTCTAAGGTTCATTCGATATGTACGATATATATGTATATATAAAGAATGGTTTAGCCGAATCATATAAAAATTAGACTAGATATAGATCTGAAAATAATTATGTTGAACCATCAAAATAATTATGTAGAATATTCAAGCATGATGATAACGCTACAACATAATTATTTTTAGATAGCTAAATTTTTTAATACTTCAGCAAAGTGTTTCTTTCGTTTACATTCGAGATACAAGATGTTTCTGTCGTATATATTTGAAAGAATTGATTACCAAAATTTAAGTTTATAATATTCCCGGTAGAAGGATGTTTTTACGTTAATATTACACGGAAAGAACAATTTTGCTGAAGTACTTAAAAATTTAACTAGACGTAGAAAATAACTTTGTTGGACCAACAAAATAATTATTTAAAACGCTTAAATTGATGATAATACTGCAAAAAGTTTTGACAATCTAGTAACCAATTTGAGTGTTCTACATAATTATTTTAATGATGTAACTTTGTTTTAAAATTTGTATCTAGCTAAATGTTTAGATATTCCAGCGAAACCATTCTTTCCGTAAGAAACATTTCCTTTAATGCTTGGCAATCAGATTTCTCTCGAATATATCGATAACTATTTTATATCCTAAAAACACACAGAATTTTAAAAATACAGGACTAAATTATCTGTGTAATTATATCGATCCTGATACATTCCTAAGACATTTATCTTGATTTATCAGATTTAATTTCAATTTCTGAAACGTCCAATATCTTTGGGATGTTCTTAAATTTATGCGCCATTTAATATAAAATACTCGCGTATCACATTTGTGATCACGTATATACGAAAATCTTCCACTCTAGATACGCCTTGCTCGACCTTTCATTTCTACCTCCATTTCTATTCATGTGATAAGGGCCATCCATGATGAAAACTGATACTCCAGAAGGGCACTCTAAAAGATATCTGGATGCATTCCCATAAGAAGATATTAGAGAGATCAAACGGATTAGAACGAAATCGGATTAGTCGAAGGGGTTTCTTAAATGGAGCGAGATAGAAGTTTCTACGGTCCTGTTCTCGTCGTCCTTTTAATGGATGACAATTTCATTAGCAGCATTGTACACCAGCTGTTCTCGACCGATGTCGGGATGTACTTTTTTTGTTGCGGCAACCTCGACAGTGGGAGGGAATCGAAAAGTTGCGACAATTAATGGCCTGCCCGTGCAATAAAAGTTTCGCCGACAAAACCGCCAGTAACTGAACATGGCGCAGTTACGTGACCCAGGGCACAAATTATCGGCCTGAGAATACTCAATATTCGCTTCGCGGAACCACTTTACGTGCAATTTCCGAGGCAGTGTAACACAGAGGCGGTGCTTCTATTCTGCGTTCTCGATAGGTGGTTCACTGCTCGGTTCCATGTCGATCCGACGTTAAATTTGTTCAAATGGAACAGAATCTCTTTGGAAGAAAGAAATATATAAAATCGCGATGGATAGTATTCGAGGAAAGAGATCGCTTTGATCAGAATGCCACGATTAATTCGATTCTCAAGCGGCGCGGATTTACGGACGACGGGATGGATCAATGTCAAAACATTTCAAAGCTGTCAACTTCGGAGAAGAGCTTGAAATTTTGCATTCTGAGGGCGACTTTGAACTCTTGCTTTACCCTTCACGACATTCTCAGGTATTTAAAGTTGTCATTGACTGAAGTCGGCAAATGGAACAACACTCAACCAATATATCGAGATAAAGCCAGCTGTTCTCGAGCTCTATTGTCCGCGCGACGCGGCGTCACAGTAAGAATATCTAGAAATGCTCGTACACGACATAAACGGGAGAAAATAACTTCTCCCATTGAATAAGGAATATTAATCTTGCGAACGTTATGCACAGACGTTAATCTTGGAATATTCCGCGCGTTCTTTACCAGAATAACAAAAAGAGCGTCTTATTACCTAAGTACTTCGTACTGCTTTCTGCAAGAAAATATTCGCAAATTATTCCTGTAGTTTTTCCAATTTTCTCTCTTTCTCAAAAAGGAAATGGGAAAATGTTTCATTAAGTCATATCTAAAGGCTTTTTTAAATTTATAATGTTTTCATACTTTCTAAATAATTATCATTTTGTCGCTTTCAGTGAAAATATTAAGATATATATACACAATATAATAATAATAATAATACAATAAATGAAAAGGTAGTTTTATGGCTAGTAGATATAATGGCCTCTTTTTGCTATTAAGTGACGAATTCTAATTATTACTTGTGGAATTATTTGTTTAATAGCTTGCTATTACACCATAAAGCTATTATACCAAATAGCTAACATTTATTATAACGCATTTTTACTTTCAAGCATTTCGAAACGTTTTCAAAATACATTTTAACATTTAATTACACACACACAAATACACATACTTCCTCATTATTCTTAAACTTGAGCATATTATCACACAAAAGTTAACAAGAAATCAAATACTGTTTTGGAAACAAAACCAATTTTTAAACCTATTTTTGTGGAAGGCCACATTATCACCCCTGTTTCTCTTTAAACCTTAAAGTCATTATACAGTATCGTCACATTTTTATAAATAATATCCTAAAGTAATAAATATTTCATAACTCTGAGTCTATAGAATTGACTGAACAAATAACACTTCAACGAATGTAATCGTTAAATCTAAAATTTAAATACCTATTTATTATTAATCACGTTATTGTATAAAATTTAAATGGGATGTCATATCCCAGGTAGCAAGCTGACGTTATTTATCGTCATTTTAGTTTCAAAATAACATCTTTAATACCATTTTTACGTCAAAATAACAAACAACATCAGCTTGCTACCTGGGATAATATCATCTTCTCCTTTAATATCTTTTTATTGAGATGCAATAAAAAGTTACTAAAGAAATTACTTATAAAGAATATAGATAATCGATTTAAGCTGCATCACAAAAGAAAATTTGACGTAGATTATCACCTTCAAATTTATATATAATATTTGCTTTGCAAAATCGCGTATTGCAGGAATGATTCGATTTATACGGTGTTTATATAGCGCGCTTGATGTATAACACGTAATATTTTTGGTCGCTCAGTCGAGACAGCTTATGTGGTCACTTGAAACACGCTGCAGGATCATATAGTGAGGAGGAAAAGCAAGACTTGTCTGGTCTGCAGCGTGAAAATGCACACAATTGCAAGTAACGTAATCAATCGGATCGTTCCGTTCGTTTCGAATAGATCTACTTTGAAGCTACCGTAACGAACTGCGCTATACGAACGGCGAGTTAAATTTAAGTCAATTCACATGAGGGTAAGAGTTTATAGAGCGAGAGCCAATTACGCCGTAATACCGCAAAGAGGATTCAATAACGAGTGAAAGGAAAGAGAGAAAGGTCAGCGTTTCTGTTGCATTCGGATAAATCATATCATGCCGTACTCACACATCTATCTCTGTGTGTGTTTTCTTCTTCTCTCTCTTTTTCTTTTACCTCTTCTTTGCCAATTTATCTGAATTCTCTCTTGCTTTTTTCTCTGTTTCCCTTCTTCATCGCTTCCGATATTCTTCGTAGTTCAGCCTGCCGGAAATTTCAGCGTTGGCGACCCTCAAATGAGATTCACCGAGCAACGAACACTAGTACGACACCTGATAAACCAAAGAGCCCTTGAGTGCGCCTTTAGTAGTAAACCTTATCGATCGACAGTGTTACGGCTTGGCTTTTGAGTTTCAAAGGTGGCCAACTGCTGAGCTACCGCAAGATAGGGTGAGATTGTTCCGACGGTGCTGGAGTTGCATCGTCGCTGCTACATTAGCACCGTACCAGCGGAAGAGCTTTAGGACCAGCGAGCTGAGTCTCTAAGAAGGAAAGAAAAGAGAAAGAAAAGAAAGAGAGAGAGAGAGAGAGAGAGAGAGAGAGAGAGAGAAGAAGGAGAGAAAAAGAGAATGTAATCAACGATGTGATGAGAATACTTGGTAAAGTAAATAAATTCTCGCCCGATTATTTTCTCAGACGCAAAGTTACATGCTTCATTTA